ACCGCCGATCTGCGCTCCCCGGGGCCGTGGGGGGTGGCGGGCAGATGGCAGCGCTGCGCCGGAGGCACCACGGCCGGGGGCACCGGGCTTCGCCCCGGCGCTTGGCCCGGTGCGGGCGGCGCACAAAGAGGTTCCTTGGCAGCGCCTTCCCCGCCTGCTGCCGGGGGGACGGGCAGACCCCGCCGGGACCGTGCGGGTGTCCTCGGGCCCGTCTCGTGGCAGGGTGACATCCCTCCCGGAGTGCGGGTGATGCCGATCGGGGGAAGGCCGGGCTGGCCCCTCAGGACCGTGTATTCCCCCCGCCGTGTTCAGGACAAGCGGCAGTGCTGCCACCTCTCCATCCCGCTGACAGATCCCTGACACTCCTCGGGGTGCTGCTCTGCCCGCTCCCGGACCTGGCAGCGTCTCTGTGCCGCTGCGGGTCAGACCGGGCCATTGGCACAGATATTCCATGATTCTGCTGTTGCCTGCGGGGAGCGGAAGCCTAGCAGCAGCAGCAAGGCCTGCATTGATCTGTCAGAGCTTGCCTGTCAGCCCGTGCCCACCCTGGCCAAGTCAGGATTAATTAAAACGTGCAAGCGTTTCCTTTATTTCTGCTCAGAATTCGACAAAACCATTGTGGGAAGAGACTGGAGTGAAATGCTGGTAATGGAGAAACCTGGTCTTAAAAGTGGTTAGGAAGATTCACTGCAATGGAGGAAGGATAGCTGTTGGAATTTGATGGTATTTCTAGAAGCTGTGTTTGCTCCCACAGAGCTAGGAGGGGTGGGCTTGTAGGTGGATAAGCACACAGAACATTTCTTTTGGTCTGTGCCAGCACTGAAGCTTCCTGATAGACCTTGCCCATTGTAAGCTGCATCTGAAATTAACATCCCCAAGACAGTCCTGATGACAAGTTGTACCTCATGGTTCCAAGTGCTTTTAGAGCTGTTGACCAAGCCCTGCTGCTGGGGAATTTAAAATAAACTGTCTGACCTTCCTATTCTGGAAGATATTTGAACCAGCAGCTGAAGAACAGCAATGCTGCAGCAAATTAAAATTATCACTTAAAGCTGCAAAATAAAAGCATTTCTCTGTATGCATGTGGCAGTTCTTGCCCTGCACAGCAGCAGTGTCATCCTTCACAGTACTGATTTCTGGAAACTTCAGATGTTAAATACAGAGGTTATGAGATTTGGGCAGACACAAATACATCATTGATGGCTCTCTGCTGCATAGTAAGCCTTACATGTCAAAAAAAAAAAAAAAAAGGAACCTGAGCTGTGTACTGTGTGTGCTTTGCTTAGCAAGGATGTAGCCTTCCCTGTAGGAGACAGGGAATGGAATCCTGAAGCAAGATTCCTATTTTAGAATTTTTTCCTGTACTTATTGTAACACAAAGCCATTTTGTTTCCATTAGTGACAGACAGTAACCTTCCTAAATCCCTATTATTAAAAGGGATTTTTTATTCCTGAGGTACTGTTCTAAAGACAGCTCAGGATTTTTTCTCCATTTTGGGTAGTGCTTATTGTGCTTGTGATTTGTATCATCCCACTACCACTGTAAATTACTGCAGGAAAAAGGAAGTACACCAGTGACAGAAAGAAGAACAGCATGAGCCAGCGTGCTCACCCTCCCATAAGGTGGAATTAGCCACTTGTGGGATAATTTTGCTCTCACACATTGCACACTGCAGGGTACTAGAGTGGCTCTAAAGGAGAAGTTGGTAGCTGCTGATTCTTTGCTTCTGTAGTTGAAAGACTGGGTGCAGGTAGGTGAAATGGCGTTGTAGAAAAGCAGAGAAACTGGCATCAGAATGAGCCTGACTGTGGAAATGCTTTCCTTTTTCTTTCTGTTCTGTACAGGTTTAATTCCTTTGTATTCTGTGGCTTTGCCTCCACTGCATTGGATAATAATGACCCTAAAGGACTATAAAGTAACAAAGAGAGAAAAACATCAAATCTCTAGTCTTGCACGTGGTGAGGTTTCCAGTCTCTGAGAGTCTGTGCCTTTTTCCAGTAAGGATAAGGTGCTGATGAGACTGCAGACCTGCAAAAGGAAACTACATAAAATGGTTGTGTGAATAGCACTGAAAGGGAATAATGCTGCTGGGAGACTGCAATGGATTATGCTAGGGAACAGTCCTGAAATGATGCCATGCAGTTTTCTTTGAGAAAGAAGTATTACCAAGGATGCTCTGAATGTGGCACAGCGTGTTCTAGTGACTGCTGCAGTGGTGCTGATGTGAAAACCCCACATTCAGCTCAGCATGACTGAACTCTATAGCAAAGCCTTGGATTGCTGGAATGGTGAAAGAGCGAAGTGTAAGTGCAGAGCCCTTTTGCCATTATGTCTTTCTATCTACTGTCTTACTTAACTCATTTGCACAGGAGCTTGTAAGACTTCTGCTGAAGAGAATGCTGTGCTACTGTCCAAATTATCAGAATAAAATGCCTTATCATTCTGCTGGTTGGTGTTCTGTTGTTTTTTATGTTTTTTTTTAAGAAGAAAATAAATAAGTGGATTTAAATGCTTAGAACTACCATTTTGTGATACCTGCTAGTAGTGTGATAGCTGATGCAGATTACAGTCTGAACTTTGGCGTGGGTCCCAGCAAATATTACAGGTATTCTAAAGCACATGAAACATCCACATCAGCATTTGAAAAGTATTATTTTGCATATCAGTAGTAAAGGTTATGATACACAAAATACAACAACTGGACATACTAAGTATTTTCAGCAAACTTACCAAAGATGCACATTTTTGATAAGTGTACCAATGGTATGTTTGACAGATTGTAGTAATACTCGCCATCCTTTAGCTCTTGAAAAATTTAAGGCTGAAGGGTGGACCTGGAGAGAGGAATGATAGTGGCTTCTGGGGAGAACAATGCAGCAAATATCCAAAGGCTTGGTGGTTTGAGGCTGCTGACAGAATTATCATTGTGCTGTAATAGGTGTAACATTAGTTCCTCAGGCTTTGGAGGAGAGGGACTGGCCAGCTGCAGTCAAGCGTACAAAACATTGTTCAAGCCTTGGGCAAAACCCATCACAAGAAGAACACCCAAATCTTACTGGACTCCCTTATCTTTAGCACAGTGAACTGAAAATCCATGATTTTTCACATACCTTGTATCCTTCCCTTTTCTGAAATGACTTAGCATCTGCCATTCCCACTGAAGAAGGGAATTGCTGCCAATGCCAGAGGAGATCTGGAATTTGTCATTGCTTAGCTTCAATATTCCTCTGAACTTGAAAAACCAGTAAAGGGACAGAAAACAGGAAAATTTAGTCATCAGTTTAAATGTAACATTTGTGGGTCTTTTACTGGATCAAAAGCAGTATCAGCAATATAATTAGATGAATTATTTAGGTAGCTGGGAGTATTTTGTTTAAATAAATTTGCTGATTGTACTGAAAGAGGGGAGGATGTTTATCTGAAATACTCCCAAAATGATATAGGCATGAACATGTGGGCTGTAATACTTCAACATAGATAGAAGTAGTGAAAGAGTTACAGCAAAAATAATTACAGCTAATCAGCTCAACCGTATGTTTTTAACAGCTCATTGTAGCCACAATGGCAACATCATCTGAAGAAGTGTTGCTGATAGTGAAGAAGGTGCGTCAAAAGAAGCAGGATGGGGCCCTGTACCTGATGGCTGAACGCATTGCGTGGGCACCTGAGGGCAAGGACCGTTTCACCGTCAGCCACATGTATGCAGACATCAAATGTGAGTGAACACTCTCCTGCTGCAGGCAGCGCTGCTGCCAGGGATTTCTAAATATCATACAAAGTTCACCGGCCATATAATGCTACCTAGAGCTGCCTCAGGAAGCTTGAGAGGTCCTGGATCTCTGGCCAGGCTACTCTGTAGCAGCAGAGACCAGGACTGTGGTAAAGTATCACCAACTTAAGGATGTTACCACAGAACTTCTGTAGTCTTCACATGTTTAACTTACGCTGCATTTACTATTAACTTTGATAAACTTCTGTAATAAATTGAACAGAAAAATAATCTATGCCATATGCTTGTGGAGGGAAGGGTGGGAGGAGGATCAAGGAAGCGTAAAGGATTTTCAGTCTAACACAGAAACTATCTGGCATGTCAGCTGTTTAACTCAGTATCTAAAGCTGTTTTGTTTTTCATATAAAATGAACTCAGTTTTATTTTCATCCAACAGACCATAGTTTCAGAAGTGTCAGCTTCTGTAGTTTGGCCTAGCTAGTAACATTCTAAATAAGCATTTGCTGTTGCAATGGCAAAGTACTTAAAAGTCAAAACTAAACACTAAATGTCTATAGCATGCTTTCTGGCTCCAATTAGTGCTCATATTTCACATGCTCTAATGCCAAAGAAGGAATAAAAAGTAAGTTCTGTGCGTCACTTTGTAGTGCTTTAGTAATTATTGCTGTTTAAAGTCACATACAAACACTGCAGTATGATCAAAAGGGTGTGATGAATCAGAACTAAGATGATCTTTTCTTAAATTTGAAAGTGATAAGAAGTTAAAAGCCCCATTCACCTATAATAATCAATTTCGTGAAGGTTTTATTTAGCTATTAACTTACGCAGCTTGTATTTTAAAAATATACATGTATAAGCATTGAAGTATTTTCAACTTAGATGAAAGATGTATTTTTTGTCATCTAAAATAAAAAAAAGGTGAGATGTATTTGTAAATTTGTAATAGAGAAGGTGATTTAGTGTTGACATCTGGTTCCTGTCTCCCACTTGCTTTAGGGAAAGGGCTGATACTAAAAGTTAGGTTAGTGCCATTTACAGTGCTTCACTGAAGTCACTATAGCACAGCAGTACATAAGCATGTATTCATAAGGATACGTAAGTGTCCCAGCCTCTGCTCCCTCTGGTTATGAGGAGGGAAGCAGCAATTAGATTTTTCTTATCTGAGTCATGAGGGTGTAGTAGTACCTTGGAGGCATTGGTGATTGACTTGGAGAGCACTAGTGGCTAGCTGCACTTAGCTCACCACTGGAAACTGGGATCCTGATGTGATCTTACCCGCCCTACCTCTGCTTTACTGCTGGTGTCCTTCAGCAGGAGCCGGGCCAGATGGAAAAACAAAAGGGGGTGCTTTTCAGTGGATCATTTCCTTGGTTCAGCTTGCTGCACAAACACTAGCAATCATACAAGAAATGCAGCAGGAAGAAGTAGAAAGGGGGAATGAGGTCACCTTTCAGCTGCAGCCTGGATTGGTTCCAGGTTAAAGTGTCTAGGTGATGGCAGCCTCATTTGCAGCAGTTTTCTAATGGATGCTGTGGGGAATGCCAAGATGAATCAGGACTCTTGAGGAGGAGCTGAAGGATATTGAGCAACAGGCTGCTACTGTCTGTGTCTTGTATTTTAGAGTGAACAAGGTGCAGGGTTCAAACTAATTCAAGGGGAAAAACACTGTTCCCTTTTCTCAGCTGCAGTTCACATACAGGATAATGGTATTTAATTGGATGATGAGAATAACTGCTTATAAGCAAATACTCCAGGGAAGACAGTTTCTTGTAAAAGCTTACTGTCTGTCTCTCTCTAATCTAGGCCAGAAAATCAGTCCAGAAGGTAAAGCTAAAATTCAGCTGCAGCTGGTATTGCATGCAGGGGACACAACCAACTTCCACTTCTCCAATGAAAGCACAGCAGTGAAGGAGCGAGATGCGGTCAAGGATCTTCTTCAACAACTGTTGCCCAAGTTCAAAAGGAAAGCTAATAAAGAACTTGAGGAGAAGAACAGGTAAATGAATAGCAGCCTAAAAGTTTGTTTTTTTTTTTTTTTTTTTTTTTCCTTCTGACTGTTAGCTAACTTTATTTCACCATCATGAATGATACAGCCCTCGTTTCCCTAGTAAAAATCTCCCTGCTTTCAATTTTGAGGCAGTTCCTTGAGACTTGCATAACTGTCACATGTTGAGACTACACTTGTGTGCTTAGTGACACGTTCCTGAGGTATAAAGGCAGCCAGTCTGGCTGCCACCCGGTCTTTCTTATCCATAGCTATGAGAGGAGACCACCCAACTAGAAGTCTGTCTCTTTAGTCTTCTTAAATATATATGTATCAGTTAGAAAAGGTGCTTGAAAGATTTTTTTTTTCCTTTTCCAGAAATTTTGTGGAGCCTGTTGATTTTTTATTCCCCCTACAGCCCCATTTGCCCCTCAAATCTTTTCTGATGTTTTATAGACTACTAAATTGGTAGGTATTTTCATGCATCTCACTTGAGAGACTGCAGTTTGTCATTTGGCATACAGGATGTTTATTTTAAGAAATGTTTTGAGAAGATGTTGAGGACCTAAGTCCTTTTCCCAAATGGACTCTTGAGATACATTTCCCTTCCTTTAAAATGTTTGTTAAACTAGTCCCTGTGGCTGCAGAGCTCTTTTCTCTGCATCTCCCCTGATGAATTTCACTTCATTCTAGTGTCTGCTGTGAATCCTGTGTCTAATGGCTTCCATTTCCAAAGACTGCTCTAATTCTGAACATAGTTAAGTTAAAGCTAGATTTTTCAAAACATGAGAGCATTGACTCATGGGACAGACTTGATCTTAACAAGGAGATTTCCCACAGAAGGGCAAGAGCCCTTGTGCTGCAGCTGTGACACAATCAGGATTAACTGGTTCCAGTACTGCAGCAACCACTAAGGTCTGCAGCAGTGCAGCCTGCTTTGGCACTGTTCCCATACTCGTTTTTTTATGCTATGTGCCTTATTTCTGACAGTATTGATGCTGAGAACACCAGCAGTCTTAGCTCTGAATCTTTGCTTCCTTAAATGGAGTTCTACAGCATCACACCATGAAGTACCTGGAGCTTTTCTAGTTACAGAAAAGCCAGAATCCCTGCATGTACTCAGCCATAGTTTGTTCTTTTGATTAGAAGTCCAAGTCTGGTGATGAGGTTTCATTAGATTAATTGCAAGAGATAAGGCAGAAAAGATCCAGCCTGTTGTGGAAGGGTACATCCAGAGGCATTTCCTCCATTTATTGATATGTGGGAGTTGGGTATGTACCAAAATTCCAAGCTTTAGTGAAATAACCAGAATAACAGACTGCTCTCAGCTGCACTTACATGTAAGAATTGCCACTAATTCATACTTGTGACAATAAGAAAAACTGGAGAAATCCTGGTATTTAAAACATAATAGGGATATCCTGCCACAAAGCTTTCATTTCCACCTCATACTACTTCATCCTTAAAACAGCTAAAGGCTTTCATTCTGTCCAAATTGCAGTTTATCCCCAGACCATGTATACATAAGACTCCTGATTTTTTCATTGTTTGCAATTGATCAAGACCCTGAGGTAGATGCTGGTGAGGTTATTGGCAGATTGTGAACACATATGCACACCTCCCTGAAAATAGCCCAGTGGGTTTCTAATAAGGAACACAGCTGTAAAAACAGCTGCTTTAACATGAGTGAAGATTCAGGTGCATAGTCTTTACATTTTGGATAGTGATACCTGATATCTGGATGATAACTTTTGTAAACATTGCTCCCTGGTGGAAGTAGTGACATGGAATGTGTCTCACACTTGTGCTGTGTCTGATTAAGGGATCAAGATCCTACTGTTACCACACAAACATAAATGAACAACCATTGGGGTAATATGTTTTAAGGGATCTTATTCCATACATATTTTGTGATCTATACTCTTACACTAGAATAGAGATCTGTAGCTACTGCGTTTTAAATTCTTAAACTGAGGGTTGGACAGCGCTGAAATCTTGTTGGTTTGTTGTTTTTTTTTTTTTCTCCCCCATCATACTTCTGTTATGGAACAACAAGAATAATCATTTTACAGTTCAGGAAATTCCAGTCCTGGTGTGCAAAGACACAAAAGCACCGCAGAATATTTTAAGACAAGACACAAATCCCTCATTAACTTTTTCTTAAGCATTACTGTTTCCTAGCTTTCAGTGTTAACATCCATCTCTTAAGTCTTTTCAGACAAACAGCGCTATTAACATTGGTTGTTTACATAGTCTTGTTAAGAAATGCACAGCATTTTGAAAGAAAAGTTGGTTTCTGTTTTTTTTGTGAACTTGTGTTAGTTGTGGAAATACTAGTGATTTATTCTTCACTGTTTCAATTCTATTCATTACATTTTTTTACCAGAATGCTGCAAGAAGATCCTGTTTTGTTTCAGCTCTATAAAGACCTTGTTGTGAGCCAAGTAATCAGTGCTGAAGAATTCTGGGCCAACCGTTTAAGCCTGAATGCAGGGGATAATTCTGCAGCACCTCATAAGCAGGATGTGGGCATCTCTGCAGCATTCCTGGTACGTTGAACCTTTAACCTTTAATAGGCTGTTAGACCAAACAAATTGGGGAAAGTGGGAGTTATGCTCATGCACTTTATTCCCATGTATATAAATGTACTTTCCTGGTTCTTCAACATCTCTCTGCTACTCCAAGTGTAAAGGAGGAAAAAAAAATGTTTCCTGCTAACCTGGTACCTCAAAATTTTGTCACTTTAAGATGCCCAATTTGAACTTTAAATTGCCTATAGGCAGACGATGTTTGTCCTGCTGCTCTACCTTCTGTTATACCAGAGTGATGTGAATATATCACATCACTAGATTAAAGTGTATGAGCTCAATAAATTAAAAAACATATCTATGGCAGCATTGACATGCATAAATTAACCTTTCAACATAAGGATTTTATTTCCTTCCCAATTTTTTAAACTAATACATGCTTTCAGCTACTTGAAGAACAACTTGTGTATCTGAAAGCTCATTCTGTCTTTTTGCCTAACTTTCAGTTATTTTATCCATTTGTAGAAACTATGCTTCAGTAATTTCAGTGCAGTCTAAAAGTAATTTAGGTACAACTTCAGATTCCTCACACAGAGACATGTTTCTGCTTCTGCAACAAAATTCACAGATGGGAATCTTTAGATGGAATCCCACTTCCACCTTTGTAATGACACGCAGTAGGTTTGGGAGGGAAAGAGGAGGTAGGAATTGTTTTAATTTAGTTGCTGTACAACCACTTGGTTTTTTCTCTCCCTTGGAAATACCTGAATCAGTTGCCAAACAAATCCGACTGATCTGATTTCCTGTCTCCCATTATTCTTACACCTTAATGTTAAAAAAAAAACAAACCACAATGAAGAGTAAACCCACCAAAGCTTCAAAATGGAAGCATTTTTAAACTAACTGGTTATGTTTGTGTCCTCTGCATTTGTGAAGAAGAAAACGTCAGATATATGTGTGTCCCAATTGATGTTAAATCTGACTGGCTGTGCTCAGAATGAGAGATAGCGTAGGAAGAAGGTGGTACAGAAGCTGGGCTTGAGGTACACAGGAAGAGGAGGAAAAGGCAGCAGCCTGGGCAATCATGTACTTTTCCTGTTTCTGAGAACTGGACAGAGCACTCGCCTTCTCCAGAGATTCTAAAGAGATCACTGAGATCTAAGTTCAAAGTTCTGACTAAAGCTAACCCTCAAGCTTTAAATTCAGTGTTACCAGTTATACTAAGATGTTTTTAGTGTACAAGGGCATAAGGTGTAAGAGCCATAAATCCTTTTTTGTCACTTCATTATAGCCGCTGATAATTCATTAGCTGAATTGTTGAGTGAACAATAAAACATGAGGTATATACAGTATCCTTACTTAGTTTTACTTTTACTTGACACAAGGATAAACATAAATTAATTAAGCATACCTTGTTTTGACCATTGGAGTGCTCCTTGCTTTCTAAAGCCTGCAGTCTGCTTGTTAAATCATCCCTTAAGTGGCAAATATAATAAAGTAATTCATGTTTTCTTGTTCATTCTTCATTCTAAAATTACTATGCTATGGATTACTGGAGGAAGAAAATTATTTTGCCTGCAGCAGACCTTGCTTGCAAGATGACAGTTCTTTTCCTTCTCCAGTTAGAGAAAGCATCCAGACATGACTGTTTTTTTCCCCTGTGTGCTTTTTCTCAGGCTGATGTACGGCCTCAGACAGATGGCTGCAACGGGCTGAGGTACAACTTGACTTCAGATATTATTGAATCTATATTTCGGACATACCCTGCAGGTAAGAGCAGTGTTTTATGTAGCAAACACATCCATTTAAGATTGGTCTTTTTACTTATTGGAGAAAGACTAAAATATTAGTCTGAGCCTGGAAGTATAAGGGACTGTATCTTCCAGTCTTCTGGATAATTTTCCCTGTCTCATTAGAGGGATGGGAAGAAGCATATGTTCTTAAAACATATGTTTCTTAATTTTGAGAAGTTTCATAAAAGCATTAAATACACTTTTGAAATGAAAACTTGATTTTATTAAATGAAAAAAATTTAACTTGTGTTGAAATTTTGTTTTTTAAATTGAGAGTAAATGTGTGAGTCCCATGATACTCTTCTACTCAGTGTTCCAATTAATTGTTATTTTGAAATCACCTTTGGGAGGAAAAGAACCTGATTTCCATAATTTCCTGTGCACTGTAATGAACATTGATTAATTTTGGCCCCTAGTGTGGGGGCAGTTCAAGAGTGTTCAGGCCACTGTTACATCCACTTTTCAAAGCTTTACAGGCATAAATGAGTACCTGTTTGCTCATGCTTAACTACTGCAGTCTCTTCCATTTAATAAGAATGAATAGAGACAGCCAGAAAGCAAGGAAGCCATCAAAGAAACGGTGACATAAAATACCATGTTAAGATTTGTGGAACACTTTGTAATTGTTCTGGGTTTTGTTCACAGTGAAAATGAAATATGCAGAAAATGTTCCACATAACATGACCGAGAGGGAATTCTGGACACGGTTTTTTCAGTCTCATTATTTTCATCGGGACAGGCTCAATACAGGCTCAAAAGACCTCTTTGCAGAATGTGCCAAACTGGATGAGAAAGGTAAGGTGGTTGTCTCTGAAAGCTACAGTTGTTCATGGAAAGTTAGCTAAAGCTTTGTCATTCTGAGCATGTTTCATAATGAAGCATTTCTGGGAACAAAGTAGCCTTTGGAAAGTGGCAGCACTAGAAGTAAGCTTTACTACAAATTCTATAATATGCCATCCTGGTAGATTGATGATGTGCCATCAGTTACTATGGAATAATTTTGTGTACACAGTAGGTTTTGTCTTGTAGTATGTGCACAATTTACAACAGGTACAGCTTTTGTTATAGATGGGGTTTTAGTAAGTGAGCTTCCTGTTAGTCCAGATTTTCCAGAGGAGTTGTCATCCTTGTTCTCTGTCAGTCTTAGAATCTGAAATTCTAAAGTATTATCTGACTCAAGTTTTTTATTAACTTTTGAGAGAGGTTTGTGATGATACAAAAATGTGGGGAGTTGGGATCACTTACCACAATTCCATAATGTGTATTTTGGCTAATGGAAGCCTTCTCTTAGGAATGCAAAACGATTTTCAACTCAAAGGTATCACCAGATATAAACTGTCATACTACACAGGCGGGGCAGCAGAACAGTGCCAAAATTAGAAGAAACATAATTTTGGCTTCCCATTTCCCACTACTATAACTGCATCTCAATTTATTTTTTTTAATCAGTGTTCAGTGATGTGTGGAAGTTGGTGAAAACTGGGCTAATTAGTAGGAAGATGTTTTGGTGTAACTTCCCACATTTATTGCTTATTTTAAATGGAACTTTGAAAAGGGTTTAAAGTTTTAGTCCCAGTGTTATTTGTACCTGTGCAGAACCTTTGTATTCTTCTAAAGATTAAATATAACCCGGTGATCCCATAGTTATTCTACTTGTTTAGATACAGTTTTTCCATGATTTTCAAAATTTGTTTCACACAGGCTTAAAAGCGATGGTGTCTCAAGGAGTGAAAAACCCTCTGATAGATTTAACAGCTTTGGAAGATAAAACATTAGATGAAGTAAGTACTTGGGGGAAAAAAACCAGGAAACAAACAGAAAATCCGAAAGGAAACCATACCCCTTCCTTAGTTACATTTAAGTGGATCCTTTTTTTAAAACCACTACAAATGCTAATTTTAAAACCCTTACTAGGCAGTTGTTGGGTATTCAACATTCGTACTATTGTGTGTGTATAGGGAAATTGAGACTGTGCCCATGGACCTATGTGGTCACATCTGCCTTGGTGTGCAGAGTGTAAATACAGGACTTCCCTTTTTTAAAGAATTACTCTTTCATTTGGCTTTTTTGTCTCAAGTGAACTTTTTGGGGTTTTTCCTACCTTTTAGACTGTGACAGTGTACAGAAGAGTAGCGCAAAACAGGAAAAAGTCTTTGGTTTGTTCTTACTTTGAACATTGCTACTTGATTTGGCCTAACTGAAGGACACTTTATACAGGATTCATTGTTTAACTTCAAATACCTTTTTTTTGCTAAAATTATGGCTAACTGGAGCTATTACCTGCCTCCAAGAACAAGTTAAAAGAATTCATATCAGTGGTGTACCATAACATGAAGTAACTTAGAGATGTGCTTTTCTGAAGGTGATCTAACTGAAACTGTTCAGTTGTAGTTAATAATGAAGCTGCATATCTAAGTTTTTTGGTGGTGTTTTTTTTTTTTTAATTTATTTTTTTCATTTTCTTTTTGTGGGAGTTGTCCAAAGCTAGCAGCTTGAAACTGGACCATGAGTTTAGGACAGGTGTGTTGGAAGTGCTCTGCAAATTGCCCTGCTTTGCTTTTGAGGCAGGTTAACAGCAAGCATGAAGCTGCCCATGGGGTGAAGTGCCACCTGGCAAGTGGGGAACTCTGCCAGCATTTTAAGGCTTGAAGTGTTTTGAATTTTCTAGGGGTATCACATCCTCCTGACAGGTATATTTTAGCCAGTGGGCTGCTGGTGTCCCACTAGATGTAAAAAAGCACTCAGTAAAACTATTGTTGTCTTTCCCTTGCTATCAGTGCCTGTTTTGCACAAGGGATCCTTAATTTTTTTTAAGCTAGTTCTGTTTTTACTCATATCATGGTCTTATAAAATTACCTGTATAAGACTTGTTACCTTTTCTCTGACACCTCTAAATTGACAAGTGTTAGCAGAATAAAATAGTCACTGTAGATTTTTCAAAGTATGAGGAGGAGATGATGGAGGCAAAGGTAGGAAAATGATGCTCTGGATGATGATGCAGAGATGGTGGCTTCCTCACTCAAGGGAAAACAGAATTGTCCTGCTGCTCTGGGGACAGGAGGGAATTAATGTTGTTTTCTTTGTAGGGCTATGGTGTTGCTTCTGTGGCCTCTACATCAAATGCCTCAAAGTCCGCTAGAGAAAGTAGCAATGCTGCCATCATAAAACGCTTTAATCATCACAGTGCCATGGTCCTTGCAGCTGGCCTCAGGAAACAGTAAGTTTCAGTGTCGTGTAAAAGATTTTTGGAGTAAATTTTAAGCAATTTCCAAAACAAAAGCACATATTCAATTATTCATACAACCTTTTATTTTAATTTTTTATGAATGAATTATTTTTCTCTAAAAATGAAAATACCTCTAGGTTTCATTTTACTTTATAGAAGTTTTTCAGAGCTGTTTGAAATGATGACTGCTATTTTTAACTGAGTTATCATATAAAGCAGATTAAAAAGGAAATAATGTGTCTGCCCTAGATGTCTAGCCCTGGTGAAGGGTGAAGTAGGCTGTAGAAGGCTGTGCTGTGTGGAGGTGAGGTCTGGTGCAGGGAGTTCATATTTCCTGCCTTCCAGGAGCAGGTCTGCTTGGGCTTCCTGCAGTGTGGCATTGGTGGATCAGATGAAAGACTCCTCAGGTGCAGTACCCTGCCCCTGACCAAAAACACCTGTCAGGTCAACTGCTCTACAGCTGCTTTATGGACAGCCAGCAAGGATTACCACTCTACTCAAATCCTACAGACCTTAACTGTGAGAGATCTCAGTTAATATTTCCTTCTGTTTAGCTGGGCTCCCTCACATCATTCTTCTGTTTTGTACAAATTGAACACTTCACCTTAAGCAATCTCTTCTGGGCAAAGTGTGTTTCTGTTTCTCAGTTCAGAAAGTGTCAACAGGATAGGTCTCCTGGAACAGTTGTACTGCAGGGCTCCCAGAGCTCTGCTGATACCCAGTTGCATAACTGTGTGTACAGAGTGGTTCTAATTTAGCCATGATTTTGCTGTGTCCCACATGCACTGTTGGCATGCTGCTATTTCTGAAGAGAGGGACCAGCACCTTCCCCTGCTGTTGAATTTCCCCTGTGACAGACAGGGTTAATGTGAGGAGTTGGTTCCTTCTGTCTACATCAATTGCTAGAAATTAAGACATAAGGGGAAAAAAGTATGGGAACATGCATATAAAGTTTTTGAAACAGATGTATTTACTTTGTCTCTAGCTTGTATCTTAAGTTTCCTGTGAGGTGAATTCTTCTTAATGCTGTTTCTCTATTTTAAGAGAAGCACAAAATGACCATTACAGTGAGACCAGCAGTACGGATGGAAACTCCAGGGATTCAGATTTCTTTCAGCCACCACTGAAAAAGGTATAAAGTTAGCTGCTGTGATTCTAACTGAATGGAACTGGAAGCTCTGTCTCAAAAAATTGCTGAAAGTTCCTTACCTGTTTTATGCCACATCTGAAGTGAAGCTTTTTTAGCCTTGTTTAGAAGTATGTAGAATAACAACCTGACAGCCTGTAAGAAGCCTTGTTACCTCTGTTAGTAAACACAAATAAGTTACACATTGAAGTATTGTGCTGTTTATCTCTTCAGTAGTGCCCAATGAAAGTAAAATATTCCAAGATGCTTCAGATTGGACTCAGAAATCTGGTTCTTTCCATTTGCTGCAGTTCTATTTTCAGCCCATTTCCTTTTGTTTTTCTTTCAAATGCCTGAAAACTTCTAGAGAACATCCATCAGAAAAGTATATTGGTGTTCAAGCACCAATATTAACCTGTCAAGTGTGTTGTTTGTAGAGGGGATGATGAAACTGCCACATGACAGCCTTCATCTTATTCAGAAGCTAAAGTGAAGTTGAACTTAGAGTGTAGTGACACCTGGTACAGTGAAATACAGGGCAACAGTCTGGTCTAGACTAACCAGAGCAGCTCACAAATTGGAAGAGAGTACTGTAAAGTTTGTTATAAAACTGAATTGAATGCTCTTCCTTGACAGCCTAAACAGAATACGTCAGAGAGACTCAAAACTTGGCTATATTGTGAGAAAACCTTGTAGAATACATGTGTTGTTAGGTGTTTGGGAGTCTTTGACTTCCCTCAAAAGCTGCAAGTTTTACTGAGCAGAAAATTACATAGCAAGACTAAAAGAAATGTGATGAAAAGGGGAGTGAAAAAGTAACTGGAGAATAGGAGACTTCAGAAATGGTCTTCTAGTTGTACAAAGTCTGATATCACTGTGCTGTTACCTCTCACTGCTAATACTCCACAGCTGTGCTGTCACTAGCTAGCTTGGGGTAGTAACTGTGGTTTTAGTCTTAGACTCCTATACACCAGTTATTAAATCATTAGTATTTCTGCTAATCTGGAGTAGGATGGACATAAATAGAGAGCATGAATGATTTTCTATGTTCACTTTTTGGAAGTGGTAGGGACTGCCTAATTTTAGCCAGAATCTGGACAAAAAGCAGTGATGCTAAGTCTTCCAAATGGCCCATCCTGAACACTGGGCATCACTCCCTCTGGAGGGCAGGCATGAGTCATTCCCTACCCGGGTTTTCTTCAGTGTTTTAGTAACCCTTCAGCTCAAACTTGGTGCACCAGAAGAAAGCACTGGATGTATGGACTTGTGCCTTCATTAGTAACATATATCATTATTTGGCTCATTTTAGGTAAAACTGCAGGAGGCCATTGAATACGAAGATTTATCAAAGAATAATAGCGTTAAAACTATTGCACTAAACTTAAAGAAATCTGATAGGTAAGTTAAAATCATGCATAGCTATTTCAGCAGAGCCAGTTTATCAGGGGTTTCATCGCAGCCCACACAGGACCAGCTGATTTAGTCCCCACTATACCACACTGAGGTGTATTACAACTAAGTTTAGAAACCTAATATGAGCTTTTGCATAAACCAATTTCCCTCTTAAATTTGTAGTTTTATTTCTCAGAGTGGTTGGGGTAAGAAGAGACACCTGAAGATCATCTAGTTCAACACCCCTGCCAAATTCCATCTTACTTTTCAGAAGTAAGCCAGCCTGAATGGCCTTGACATGTAATTTCAGTGAAAGCCCAACAGACCTCTGTTCACAGTTCAGCACATCATTGCAGCTTTCAGTGGAAAAATGTGTTACATATGAAAATATATAGAATTCCAAGAGAAATCCACTCCCAGGCAAAAAAGTGTGATTGGGATAGTTGGGAGTGCTCAGTGGTCTAGAATTTTTCTAGTAGTAGCACTCCTGTTTTCTAGACTTTTGAGTTTGAGAACCATAGATGTAACATCAGAAAAGGAGAAATACTACCAGAAAGAGAACAGTCTCAGTTGAAAGTGATGTGAATTGCTCTATTCTAATGATACTTTAAGAATTTGGTGGCAGGGGTACCTTTTCATTGCAAAATAATGATCACAGATTTAGCAATAGAAGCTGTGATTTGTTGCCATACCATCCCTGACTCAGCCTCTTCCCATGTGGCAATATATTGTACTTTGTCAATAAATAAAGTAGTGTCAACAGTTGCAAAGCATCTAAAATTAGAAACAGTAGAAGAACTTTCCAGGAGTTTGTTCTCTTGCTTTACTCTTATTAATAACACTTTTTTCTCACCTCACAGGTATTACCATGGTCCAACTCCAATTCAATCACAGCAATATGCAACCAGTCAGGATATAATTAATTCATTTAATAGTATTAGACAAGAAATGGAAGCATATGTACCCAAACTAACTCAGGTATGGAAGTATATTCTAAAAATTTCCATCCGCATTAAAAATTCATATTAAAAATTCTGTATCTTAGCTTAGCATCTTGATTTCTGTACAGTTTTGTGTCTCATGTCTACTGAAGTTTCAGCTTTTCATGGTAAATTATCTCAAATTTCTGTTAAATTATTTATTTTACAGGTTTAGGTGGTACCTTTTGAGCTGTTACGTTTAAAATCAGCACAATAGGAAACTGAGTCATTGCTGATGCTCAGTTATATTCTCCTGTTCCTGCCTTCTTTTGAGGAAATGGTAAAGGTATAAGATAGTAAAGCAGGGCAGTCATGCACAGGCCAGTGTACTGATCCCACCTGGAGAAGTTTAGGAGGTTACAGTGGGCAGATTTTTAACTGAACTGGTCTTTTGCTCCTAAATGCTTAGGCTGTCTGCTGTGTGCTGCACAGAAGCTCTGTGCTGGCACCTGGAGGGCAGCAAAGCCCTTTGGCAAATCTCCCCAGTCAGCATCTGAATTTACCTGCTTGTAAACCTAGTTTGGCTCTAAGTAAAGCAGCCACAATTCTGCTACACTTCTGCATAGTAATGCTCTGTCTTATTTCAGAGTAAATGCACAGCCGGTTCAAGGTCTAGGTAGAGAAAAGGTTATAATTGATTTGAGAGTTTTCACTGCAAACGAGCTATAGCACTTAATTCTGGAGAAGAGCAGAACCTGAACTTCCATGTAGTTGTTCAAGTATTCTTGTTTTAAAAAGAATTTATTAAAAAAAGTGACCAGAAATATTCTTTTTCTGCCCAGGTTCTTTCAAGTGGTGATGCTGCCAGCACTATTGCAGTCCTGTCACCTGGAGGAGCACTTATGCAGGGTGGAACACAGCAAGCCATAAACCGTAAGGATTTGGGATATCTGATGCTTTAATCATGTCCTGTTGCATTGCACAGCACTACTTGGCTTGCTGTTTCATCTCTCCCTTAGAGTATGTTACAGTGATAAAGTATGGAAACATGTAGCTGGAGTAGTACTGGGTTACAGCAACAAAAGAAAGGCACCAGCCACACCATGGGGGTGGTAATGGCTACACCGGTGCTGAGGCAAGTGAACAAGAGAGCATCTTACACAGCAAGTAACAAAGGAAACACCTGATAGATACCAAATTGTCTTAACAGGTACAGGGTTTTACTTGTTCAGCATTTCTGATTTATTTTTTTTCCTGGATTATAGAATATAGCATACTCTGTGAAAACTCTTAAGGAAGGAAATTCTACATAATAGTCTGAAACTTAAATTTTTTGCAGCCTGCATTTTAATATCCACAGCTTGCTGTGAAAAAAAAAGCAACTTCCTTGTACACTGCAAGGGCAAATCAGACAGCCTTTCCTTCTCACATCTCTATTCAATCACCCCTTTCCCTGTCGTCAGATTGCTGCCAGTTTGAGTTCCGTCTCTTGAGTCTCACAGCAGATGAATCCCTGTTGTCAGGATTTATTAGTTTTCTAGCTTGTCTTGTGTTACTTGGTCTGGAAAGCAGCAAAAAGTAATTCAGACAGGTGAAAGAGCAAGTGTGAGGTCTTTACGGTACTGAAAGAAAAGGAATCAGCAAGCAGCGGTGAGGCTTTCTTACCCATCCTGGTTGACATATTGAGTGCTACACTTCACTTTGAGCCTGTCCAGCACTTCTTTCTTTTAACAGCCTCATCCTGAAATTTAATCTTCACTGTTGAGGTCACTGTGCTCATCCTCAGCAACCCCTTGTACTTTTTGTTTGGGTTTTTAAGTTGTGGCTCTTTCCTTGTTCATGAACCCTGTCACCCTTTCTTCTTTAAGGGTGCCTGGGACTCAGTTCTCTTTCTCCTGTCTGGATTCTTCATCTTCCACATGCTGTAACCATATTGCTAACATAAAATAGAGGGGAAAACTTGAAGTACCCACCACAGAGTTCTTAGCACTGTGCTGTGAAGACAACATAGTGCTGGTGCCAGCAGCAGCACTGCCACACTGTTAGAACAATACAAATATACTGCTTCTAATCCTGGATTTGGTTTGGTGTCCATTCTTTGCCTAGCGTGGATCTCCCTAAATAACACACAAGCTTCCAAGTATAGAGCCATAAATAGCAGCTGACCTGATCTAACAGCTGCTGATTGTCTTGATCTGATTGCTGCTGAGGTGTGAGGCACCTCAGTGTTCCTCCCAACCAGTCTTTCTGTGACTGTAGGGGAAGTGTATCTTGCTAAGCTCCTTCATTAGACCTAGTTCTCGTTTTTCATTTGAGTGATGTGAAAAAACCCTTTTTCCTGTTGCAGAGATGGTGCCAAATGACATTCAGTCTGAACTGAAACACTTGTATGTGGCAGTAGGGGAACTGCTACGACACTTCTGGTCCTGCTTCCCTGTTAACACACCATTCCTAGAAGAAAAGGTAAGGCAGAGCTTCCTCTTGTGGCCCTGGTTATAATGTGGTTTAGAATGACCATAGTTTAGAATGGCTGTCACTATTGACGTATAGAACTAATACACATGCCTCAAATCCGTACAGCACTTACTCATCTCTAGAACTGAAGGTCACAAAATAACATGAAACCTTCTTTTCTTCAGCAGTTCTGCTGGTACTATTCATTAAAATCATCCTTGTCCCTGCCTCCCTGTTAGCTCCCTTTAGGAGCAGTAGCCGCCAGTTTCAAACAGAATGGGCAGCTCAGTTGTAGCTGCAGGGTTCTCATTCCAGTTTAAAACGCAAAAACTAAAACCTCCCTTTCCCAGCTGTAAGAAATAACCTCCTCAGTGACAATACAAGCAAGTTTCCCCTATTCTTCTATCCATTGCAAAAATCACTCTCATGCCTTCAGAACACACACTGCTTTTGAGAACTAAGTTGCCTTCAAGGACAGATGTTTGTCTACAGGCAAGTCTATGACTGAAATTATTTTTCTGTTGCTTTTGACCTCACATAGATAACAAAGATAAAAATTTGCATTCAGATACATTCACAAGTCTGCTGCAAAATGTGTCCTGAAAATCCACAGTCTTTGCTTGAAGCAAAAGATATTTTGTGAATATCTTGTATCTATAGTGTTTTTTAAGGAAGTAATAATCCTAGTGACACGCTGCACTTTCAGTCATACTGCATTTATCTCAAAAAGAAATACAGAGAATTAGAGTCTGATGCTTGAATAACTTTCCTTCCTCAAACTACACAAACTTGAAGTAGCCCCCAGAATTAGTTATTAGGTGTTTTGCTGGAGAACAGTTTGTTACAGGAAATGAAGCTTCTGTCTTACTATAATTCTTGAATATTGTAATACTGGTTTCTGTCTCTCTCAGGTTGTGAAAATGAGGAGCAACTTGGAAAGATTTCAGGTTACAAAGCTCTGCCCATTCCAAGAAAAGATTCGGAGACAATATTTAAGCACAAATGTAAGGGAAAAGTACTGTTTAATTATGTGGGTGCATATTAATAATTTCAGTCTTAATTATGATCAGATGATAGCTTTGTTACTTCTTAACCTAGGGCATTTTAATTTTTTGGTTGACTAGGAAATGGGAAGAGGGAAATTGGGTACACAGTTAAGCAGTCATCTCTTCCTGTCCAATTTGCTGAGTGATGCCAGCAACTGACAAGAACTGTAACTTGAAGTTACAGGAGTGATAAAACAGGGAAAAGGGAAGTCACATTTCATTTTCCACTTCCACCATGAGCAACTTCAGAACCCCACCCATGTCAGATTTGAAGTGGTCACATACTGAATACCAGAACCAACAGCACAATGAGTTGTCACTTCCCCCTGACCTTTCAGCTCAGCAGCTCTCTGCATTGCTCTCCCTATGGATATTTTGCAACAGAGCCTCAGGGTCCTTTCTCTGATTTTAGGAAGATTACTAGTAGTGAATAAAGACAAGAATGCACCTGAAAGGGAGGGGAGGGGATCTGTTTTCCAGCAGCTGGGACAATGTCTTCTCCCTTTCCTGTTTCAGTTGATAAGTCATATAGAAGAGATGCTGCAGACAGCCTACAATAAGTTCCACACGTGGCAGTCCCGGCGCATGCTGAAGAAGACGTGAGGGCACATCCTGTACAGGTCTGAGAGAAAAGCCTGCAATAGGGTAGGACTACAGCCTAGGTATGTGCAGATCTTAGAGTTGTTGCAGGAAGACTGCAAGCTGTGGACTTCTGGAAATGATGCTAACTGAACTTGCACATTTTTGAAAAAGAACTGAGATTAAACTTGAAAACTGGGGAGAAAAGGAAGAACCAAAATGGAAGAGCTGAGGCGCAAATATATTTAAAAGACACTGTTTACTGCAGTTACTCAGGAACTGCTTTTGATTTGCATAAAGAGCTGCTTTCAGAAATAAAAAACTTAAAGAGGGTGTATTAATAGAATTTGTTTTTCTGTCTAATTTTTTTTAAGAAGTGTATGGCACAGGGTAGATCTCAAAAGTTTTTCTTCACTGGATTCTGACATTTTCTTGGGTTCTGTTTGTACTTTCTGCAACAGTTTAACAATGATGTTTTAAAACATAGCTGAGACTGTTTTTGCTTCAAACATCTGGGAGAGCGTAGCTGTCAGAAGACAAGCTCCTGCCATATATATTTCCCCATCAATTGGAAGCAAGAGACATTGCACTGAAAGCTGTTCATGGTCTGGAGTCCCTAAAGGTACACAGGGGCAAAGTTTTGCCTGAAGTCTTCGATTTTTATGCAAAATTTTTTCAGCCATCAGTTTTGCATGTTTCCTTTTGAGTGCAAGTGTGTGCTACTGCAATCTTTTTTTTTTATGGTGGCATTTGTTCTGAGAAGAGAATGCATTTTTAAAAATGAAGTTAAATAAAGTTTCTTACAACAGAAGTAATTTATTTTCAATTCTAAGGCATTTTTTATTTCTTCTCCTAAGTCTGTTTTCCTTCACTCTTTCCTTTTGACTATTATACTGTTTTTGGCGAATTGATAATCACTGCAAAGAAAAAAATGTGTTATTTACAGTGTCCATAGGTATTGGGAATCTGTGCCATACTTTGTTCTAAATAGAAACAGTTCACAGTTTCAGACCAACTTGTCTTGTATTAAATGTGACTTAAATGCAAAGTAACCCCCTTTTCTAGAATATATGCAGTTTATGACAACCTTGTATTTTTTGGTCACTTTGACTGGACGAAAGCCCATTATGGGCTACTAAACTTTTTTACTTCAGATTAAATGTGACTGTTAAAGATGTATCTACTACAAAGACAAATCATACTGACAATATGTATTCAAAGCAAGCACAGCAGTGTGCAGTACAGTAGAAGAAATTCCTCAAGCCTGCATGATGGCTTAAGACTACATTTTGGTATGATGCTCAAACATGATAGTATGATGTTGGGTTAATAATTCTTGAAAATTCCTACAGCAGAAAAGATGTATTGGTGTAGCCAAGTGGGTGCTTGTTCTGTGCTCTGCTGCTCCGTTTATGCAAGAGGGGTTTTTTCTTTTTCTAGTGTGTGGAAGTCAGCGGCTTCTTTTGACCCTTTTCTTTCAAAATTTGTATTATGCTATAACATTCTGGTAAAAGCTGTTTCAGTTAAGCATCACTGTCTGCACCAAAGTCCTGTTCAGAAGTGTGTGCATATTGTTCAGCCTCGTTCCCTGTCTGTTGCTGCAGATCCATGCATGATCCCTGGCCCGCGCTGTCCAGGTGGTTCTGCTACAAGAAGTGACTGGGCTCAACCAGAGATGCCCACTGGTCTTGACAGGGTGAAAATGTCACTAGGAGTAAACAGATGCACTACAGCATTTGGGGAATGAGGTGCACATCTTGTCAAGAGTTACCTCTTGTGAGAACTAAACTTTATCTAAAATTTAGGCTTAGGGTGGGGCTTTATGAAGCCAAATCCCCTTGTAAGTGCAGGCAGCTCCCAGAAAAAAAAGGTAGTTTTGTTCTCCCCCAGTCCAAAGCATTTGGTCTAGCAATTCTGGGGCCAAATTCCAACTGAAAGCTAACACACCTTTCATCATATCAGAGGGCTAGGGTCAAGAAAACAGGTCTGAATTACATTCTAACTGTGCCTGAAGCTATGAGCAATGCATTTAAGTATTAGACTGCACTGAGACTTTACTTAAAAAAATCTTAGAAGAGTTTTGAATACGGAACTAATTCACATTTAATTGGAATGTATCTAGTGTTCCTGGAACGAATGGGCGAAATGGTTAACATGGTGAAAAAGTGTCGGTGCATCACAAGAACATTTTACAGCTCCTAGGACTGATGTTTATAACCATTTTGGGGATGGTGTTGCAATAGCTTTAAGTTATTATAATGATATCAGGCTATCAAAATGTACCTTAATGACCAGAATTAGGGGGAGGAGGACTATGATACTAAATTCAACAGTTTTGCCTAGAGGCTGTACAGGCAAGGCTGCTATGCACTTCATATTGCTTTTTCAGGTATTGTGGCAATAAGGCACAGGCCCCTCCTCAAGTAAAGGGAGGTAAACGAAATATTCTTTCTACATTGTGTTCCCCTTTTCTGTAGCATGGTCCAAAACACAGATTCATTCCTTAAGTTTTGAAACTGAATAATCACGCATTATATTACTATTGGAATCTTTATACTGACTTGTATTTTTAATGAGAATTCATAAAACTTGTATCATTGGCATTGATCTAAGATTTGTAGAATAAACCCTACTGAATTCTGAAGTGAAGTCTTCTCTAATGCTTAGGCTGTGTTTTCTAATTGAATTAAATCCCTAACAGGCTCTATTGAAGTCTAAATAGAGAGAATTGTGTGTAACTCGCCTAGCTGTCCCCAGGTGCTGATAGATTAGTAGCAAAAGGGTTACAATGTAATTATTGACAAATTGTTTCATTTTCAGGCTTTGAAAACTTCTACTGTTGCACATGGAATCAACACCATTACTAGTGCTACTGTTCCTCTGTTCCATATCATACAGAAACCACTTTTACTCTCCAGGGATTAGTGCTCTTCTTGTTCCGGATATTGATGCAGCAGCTGTTGGTTCAGGAGAGCTGCACAGGAGCTTTGTCAGTCACTCTAATCCAAGGTTTGCTAGTAATGGAGAAGGGATAGTGCAGATACCATCCTGTGCATTTCAGCAGATGAAGATATTTAGATGCACCACAAAAAAGGCTGGGCTAATTCTCTCCCAGGAGCTCTACCCCACCAGGGACAGGAGGTGACTGCCTTCCAGTGCAGCCACCCTATAAGTAGCTTCTTACATGCTCGCAGGGTAGCTCTCAAGACTACCATCTGCAGCTTCCTAACATGGCAAAGATCTCACCAAGGCCCTGTTGTGCTTTCCCAGATGGATTAGTTTTTCCACCACTCTCTGCTTAAGAGGCCATTGTTAGAGCTACAACTGTTTTCCCTTACTTAAGCTCTAAATGTATCCTTACAACTTCTAGGAGGTAGTATCAGCTAGAAAGCTTTCCTTATTCTTTCCCAAACTCCTATGGAACAGCTGCTTTATCCAGAAAGTCACTTGTATAAACAGGGAAGGCAACAACAAGCTTAAGACCCAATTTTCCATTATCCCTCCTGTTTCCCTTTCTTAAGGAAAGAGTCTGACAAAGTATCCCTGTGGCTTTGGAGCCTTTGTTTTGCAAGAGTTTCAATGTGAGTTATGATACTCTGAACTTGTTTCCATGTTCTCCCTTGCCCTGCAGCAAGAACTGGAGCTTGATCCAAATGGGACACAGCAACCTTTTGAATAGCAATCAGACATCACTGGTGATCTAACACTGATCCTCCAGTGACATATGTGTTCCTACAGCAGAGTTCAAAAACCTGGGGAACCATGAAATTACCTAAACCAATCTCCTACATGTTTTTCAGGATACTGCATTTCCTCTCAGCTCTAGCACATCATCTCCCCAAAAGGTAGCCAAGGCCTTGTCTGTCTGCTGATGGCAAGGGAGTCTGTTAACATCCTAGATGGAAGATGCTCTGTGAGGGCTCTTTTGGGGTGGAAGGGACCAGACCCAGAGGTGCAAGGTGCAGCCAGCACAGCTGATCTGGCTGAAGGAACCAGAGGCTACAGACCAGAGCTCAGCCAGCCCATAGGCACTCCTGTTCCCAGCCCTGGGCAGTGAGCACCCCAGAGACCCTGGTACCCGCAGTGAGGGAGCTCTGTACCCTGCTCCTCACAGCCCACAGTTCTCCTTTCACAGCCATGCCAGTTCTCCTTTGTGCTGCTCTCCAGGCAGCTTTGGGTTCACAGCCAGGTGGCAGAGTGCCATCACAGTGATGGGGAAAGTGCCTTCAGGAATGCAGCCGAGGCTGGGGCTCCTTGATGGCACTTACACAGCCACATGCTCTCAGCTGCTGTGTTTCCCCCCACGAATATTTCCATCCCCTCCAAAACCTGACAGCCCTCTGATCTTCCTCTCCCCATAAAAGTCCACATACTCTTCATTGTGTGAAAAGCCAAACTACTGCAGTAATTCAGGTGTCAGCATATCCCCAAGGAAAAAATGTCCTGGACTTATACCCTGTCCTCCCTGCATGCTAAGATCCTGTTGCTTTATTCTTTCACTCACAGCCCTCACAAACTGTGAGTTAAATCTGAATCTGCTGAAGGCAGCTTCCCTTCAAATAACCCATAAACCTAGACAGTTTTGTTCTCTAGAACATCACCTTCCACACATCCCATTCCATTCTAAGTTCACTTGCAGGCACATCCTGACAAACCATTATTTTATTAGAATTCCTGCACCCAGCAGAAGCAGCCCCAAGTGCTGCTGACATCCCCACTTCCCTGCACCACCCTCCTCAAGCGAGCTCCTGTCCTGTGTGCACCAGCAGGACTGCCCATCACCTCTGGCACAATGCTGCCCACACTTAGGCACTGTGGCTAAGCACCTCATAGGCTGGGAATCCCAGATCCCTTCTGTGTAACCTCCCCAGGCTTGGCTGCCCACACAATCTGTGCACACCCACAGCTGTGCACTTCATCCCCTAAATGCTAAGCCCTGTCTGCAGCATCTCAACAGGACCCTGACTGCAAGTTCCAGAGAAAAGAGGGAAGCACTAGAACATACCCAAGCTAAAGCTTCTGTTAAAAAGACAAGACTCAAAAACTTTGGGAATTGGCCAGAGGTGACCAGACTTTCTGGGGCAGGGGCTGCCTATCTCCAAGTACTGCGCAGGGAGTATTGGCCTCAGGTGGGACTTCCAGCCTGTTACATGAACAGCTTGTTGGCTTCCTCTCTGACCTCACCTGCAGCTGAAGGGCTGATCCAGATAAAACAGCATTGGTAGGAACTTTATTTGCCATACCCCATGTCCCATGACTGGAATTGACAACTCAAATGCAACAGCCCCACGACAGCCACTTCCCTGCAAGCACTGCCCCCATTTCTACCTTTGCCCAACTGCAGATAGTATGTTAAGGAAATAAACAGCCACGTGGTCCCTAAGTGACAATTCCTGAGCCTGGGCACGGCTCCCCTCCGCTTCCTGCCACGAGCTGATCACGAAGGGAAACAGCAGCAGTGAGGGACTCGGAGCAACGCTGCCATCAGCCTGGCTGGCTCTGCCAGGTGTGACTCAGCAGGACAAAGACTGCTGGGCCAGAAGCAGGCAGCAGATAGCTCTGCTAGTAAGCACCAACCATCCTATTCTGCAAAACCAGGTCACATGAAGCACATCAGTGTGCAAAATGCTTCACAGCAGCGAGAAGAGAGACCCAAGGGAGACATCTGTCTGTACGGAGACATTATGTCACCAAACCCAGAATGTTTCCTTTTGCCCTGCAGCCCTGCAGAGCTCAGGAAATTGCACTCTTAGTGTCTTTCTGCCTTCTTCAAGGGCTTTCTGCCTTCCTCACCCTTCAGGCAAAGCTCCCAAACTGGCTTGTGCTGTTTTACAGCAGGCAGTGGAATGTTTCTTTAGGGACCTCACTCTTGGACAAGATCCTGGGTGCTACAGCAATGGAACAGCTTTTCTCCATGGCTTGCCACTCCCTTGGGCACAGCTCTTCACCTTGCCTTAACAAAAGCAAACATATACAACAATCCAAAGACAAACACAGGGATTACAATTTGATTTTGTGATTACCATTAGCAGGTGATAACCACTACTTTACACCGAACAAGCACCAACACTCCACCATGGTAAACCAGAACCGGTGTCAGAACTGTGATCCAGTCCTTAAGAGAGGTCCTATTCAGCTAAAGTATTCAGGATCTCTAACCAGGGATTTAAGATGCATTTTTCCCCAGGGAGGCAGGAAATCCCTCCTCGTCATACTCCCTTCCAGAAAGCCCTTCATGCCACAATTTCTAGACTTCACATCACAAGACTGAAAATCCTTTCAGTTCTAGAAAGAGGGATGATCCCAGATCTCAGCCAGGCCCAGGCATTCCCATCTGGAAAGCAGACACTGCCAACAGTTTCATTGGTGCTGATCTCTCTCTCATGAGAGGAGGCTGATGAGAGCAGCTTTGAACCTCATTCCCCAGCCGTACCACTGACAAGCTGACTCTGTGCCACACACCTTCATACCAAAGCACATGAGGGGGCAGAAAACAAACCAACCCCCAAAAAAGCAGTGTCCATTCCCTTACCAGCCCCAAATTCAGTGGTGCTAGCCTCTGCTAGCCCCTGCTCAGGTAAGTATCGTGACAGACACCTAGGTAGGGATATCTCATTCTTACTCTCAGGGAAATGCTGTTTTGTATCCCCTCTGTTCCCCTCTCACCCTGCTCCTGCAACAGCAACTGCCTTTTGTGGGGCTGGGATGGGAACAAGGCCTCAGGGATGCCAGCCCTGGAGGAACCATGACACTGGACAAGTGCCCTGGCAGCATGACTGGCAGAGCCTGGCCTTGATCCTTAACCCCCCACCCCTGTTTAGTGGGGGAAACTTGGTTTCCGAGGCCATAGACATGCTCTGAATCCCACCCTGTCATGCCCAAGCTGGATGAGAGCTAGGACAAAGCACTGCCAATGCCCAGACTCCATATCTGGAGAAAAACATGGAAGAAAGAGCGAGTGCCACCAGAGATGGAAGCAGAGATGCCCTAAAAACACGGCCCAGTCTCCATGGGGGTCAGTGACTGTTTCAGTACACTTGGAGACCAGCCAGAAGAAACCTCTCAGTGTGGATAGCTACTTCTGGGGAAGTTACACCATATCACAGCATCCTCGTGTGAATCAGGCCCCTCTGCCCTGCAGCTGTTTGCTGCACCCATGCAGAGAATGCCACAGGCCTACGGAGCTGTCCTACATTCAGGACAGTGGATTCCAAGGGAGACAGGTGGGAAGGGTGAGCAACGCTGGCCTGGCACACAGTCCCTGCACTGAGACACAGAGCAGCACCTTCTGCAGCCTCTTATCACTTTGGACTTGGCTCCATAAAGGGTGGCTCGGTGCTCTCCTCCAGACACAGCATCAGGCAGCCAGAACCAGGTCCCTGCCTGAGGGCTCTACCTTGTCCTTTTGCTCAAAGAGATCTTTGTCCACAGAAGGGTTCAATGTGTCAGTGCCAACAACAGTAAACCCGACTGTGCCCAGGAGACCCTTGGCTGGAAGAAGTATCAGATAGAGAAGCTGCACTTTACAGTCCAGGGGCTGATTCCCTACCAGCTTGGTTCAGTCCACAGTTAAACTGCATCTCCTGGGAAAGGAGGAGTATCACGATTCCTGTCTAGAACTACCCAATGCTTTTTCCACCACAGGAAAACCCACAGACATGAGAGAGAGAAAGCTCAGAAAGACGAGCAGTTTTGTTTCCACCCAGTCAGACTCCTATTTAATCCTCCAGGGCACAGCACAGCCCTGCCCAGAACCCCTCCATTCGAATGCTGACATTTTGTTCCCTGCACAAATGCCTCTCCCTTGCAGCCCTGACTCACAGCCATCGCCTCCCTTTATGCAACACAGCTCCATTTCCTGCGCAGCCGGCGATGCCCAGTGCCAGCAGGAGCCACAGGGGTGCCAGCCTACAGGCAGCCTGTGAGGGAGGCACCCCTCCTGCTCTGGCACTTGCGCTGCTGCCTCAGCTCATTACATTATTTCAGTGTTACTGTCCCCCAAACATCATCCACACCCCCTTTTAAGTGAAAAATGTCGAGCTCTCCGCAATCAGAATCTGATGCTATAATTAGACACCCCTACAGTACACATTGCTGTGTTACACAACACAGCTCAGAGCTCCTGGGCACTGGGTGAAGCTACATTTGCATTTTATTCACATCACAAACTCTTAATGCAAAATCTCCTGAGCGGCCGTGGCTACTGAGCTTTGGTTCAGATGATGAGGCAGTCTGAGAGCACGCAAGTGGGTTTCCCTGGTCTGAAACTGAACCAGAAGAGAACTCCAGTCACCAGCGCATGTCAGTCCGCAGGACTGGACTGGAGTTTGCCAGCAGACATACAAAGAGGATATCAGGTCCTTAATACCAGCTGTTTGCTCAATATCCAGCCCCCTTTATGGCACACAGGTTGTAAATGCAGACACAGCTGCTCACTGTTCCATGCAAATCCCACAGCCAAGGCACTACTGTCAGGCTAAGAAATGGCTTTGATTACTTTAAAGGTTAATCTCAAAAGCCAGGCTCCAAACTCCAAGGCTTCACAGCTGTATCACATTTCTGTTTTCTCTTCCCTGCAGTGGCAGGGCAAGTTCCTGCCCAAACTTTTCCCTACAGCTGCACCAGGAAGCACTGGACTAGCTGCACTAACTCACACTAATAAACCAGATAAATAGTTTGTGTTACTCACTTTCAGCTGACTGACAAGGTGATAGCTCTGTCACTTCTAAAGGGCTGGGTGAACTGCCCTGCTGCAGCAGTGTTTGCCTTGCAGGAGCACCACAGATTCTGGTGCAGCATGAGCCATACGGCATCTCCAGAGAGCAGCACTGTGAGACAGAGCCCCAGGCTCTGTCTGCAGCTTCCCCACCTACCTCGTAAGTATTTGTGCATCTAACTGCCACCAGATGCAGCAGGATTAAAATTCTTACTGGACCTTTAAAAATCCAACCCTGGGCCCATCCCTGCTGACACTGCTTGGCAGGAGCGTAGCTGGGCAGCACAGGGCCCAAACCTTGGAGTCTGCCAAACAACAGCATGAGGGAAAAAAACTGATCAGGGACAACATTTAGGATCTGTCATTTCCCAAGGTTACCATCTGCTATTAAGAACTTCTATGTAATCAAGAAATCAGTAGCAGTGGTCAAAGATAGCCCTTCAGCTGACCCTAGTCAGCATTGAACTTCCTAAAGAAAAGTCCATTACCTAATTCAACCTAAAAGAACATTCTTCCAAATCCAAGTTTCCTGCATCATCTGCAAGATGTGATCTAAATAATTCAAAATTTCATTGTATCTTGGTTACAGACAAAGGTTTATTTTTCAATAAGATGTCCCAGAGGAATTGGCTATTTTGTTTAAATCATTCCTGACTTCCAACACCATATATAAGGACACGTCGAAGCAGACTGAGCAGATGAGGAGCAGAAAGGATTCTGACATGGGCTAACTTCAGCTCATCAAAGCTGGGCTCTTCTCTCTCTCAGGGAAGATAAAACCATGGATTGCATCAGAGTTGTATCTGTGGCTGCTGAGGGTCCACAGGTTAATTGCAAGAGATAGGCAAAAATTCTCAGGTCAAACAAGCTTGTCTTCTATTTGCAAGGATCCGCTTGCACATCTCCAAGGGTCTCCAAATGACAGTGGCTGAAAACCCATCTGAGGAGAAGAGAAACCTATTTCAGCTCTTCCCAAGGATCAGTCCATGGAATGACTTCTCTTGGTTGACCATGGAAGGAGCTCTGGTGGAACTGACACAGCTACATGAACGAAAAGCAGTTCCCAGTCCAGCCCTCAGGCTCAGGTGCATAGAGCTTACAGAAGAATTTCAAAGGCAAATCTTTAACCCGAAGTATTTTTAACATGTTGGGAAACACTACATCAAGCAGTCCATAGTCCAATGGTTGACCTTACTATTGGGTATGTTGTTTTTAAACTCCCCATTACTTGCATGTAATAATAGCAAGTTATATAAAGTCAGGAAATGGGACCAGCACAAAGTTCAAACTAATTTTCATATTAAAGGCCTTGCGCAACTATTTCCACAGCAGGCCTTTAATGACCTCTTTAGTCCAGTTACAAGGTTGAGATTACAGGCATTTTCAGGTAACTTGGGAAGGCTATCAATACTTCCTGAGAACCAGGTTTTGTTTTATGTATTTCTTTGTCAGAAGGACATAGCAGTGATTATAGTCATTTCAGAGAGACTAGATGTTATATCCTTCCTCAAAAGGACAGAAATCATAGGAAAAGAAACTTGTTTCCACTTGGCACATAAAGAGTTTCTCAAATCTGCTTTATCACAGGCAAGCTACTTGCATTATAACTACTAGAAATGCAACAAACTATTTAATGTATTGGCCAATATTAAGCATCTACCAACTTCATCACATACCCACATTCAAGATTTCATATGAAATAAAGAGCTTATCACTCTGTTTGAAATTTCCAGACAGATTGACTTAATCTGGGGACAATAAACTTCACAGAAACTGTGCCACAGCTTGAAAAGGCTGTATTTAAAGGAAGTACTGTCCAGACATGAAGTATCCAGCTTCCAAGAACCTAATCTCTGATGGATTACATCATGACACATAAGAACTGATATGTTAATACATCCTACATTTTAAAACCCTAACATTTTATTCCACACTCTCCAAATTCCATGTCATCTTCAGCAGAACAGCATGGAAATAATGAAAAATTTTAGGTTAAAATCATTCTATTTTTACTAGCCAAGGAGCTCCAGCCCTATGGATCTTACAAAGAGATCTGTGGATCAAATTCATCCTGTGCTATTGTATCAAGGTTCCTAAAGATTTCAAAAAAGTTTTTTAGTGCCCTGACTTTAATAGGTGTTTTGTACCGGTATTTTCTGCAAAATCAGACCTCCAATGCATTAGATACCTGAGTTTTAAGTGGTTAAAAACTTCACTGTTTGGGAGCAGAAGTGAGTAAAGCCACAGCCCCTATCAAAATGATTATCAGCAAGATAATGATTTCTTCATCTCTAAACTTCCTATTTCTTTCTCACCTAAAACCAGACCATATGAGCAGAGCTTTAAACTTTAGAGCATTGATTTTTCTTAGCTAGGCCTATTTCACAGCTCTACTACTTGCATACCTCTGTTAAGCAATTATCTTGCTATTTAATTGCTGTGCACACCCTGAACTACGTATTTGTAATACACAGCTCCCTGGGACATGCAGCCACATCCATGGGCTCCAGCCGAAGTCAAACAATGGGGCCACTGTTTCAACCCTGCCTCCTGGCTCACCCTCTCAGTGCGGGTTTTCTCCTCTCTGCTTCCTTTCAGTGCCACCAGGGCTGAGCCATGCTGCAGCTTCCCTTACAGCTCCACTTTCCTGGGACTTGGTTAACAAACAAACAAACAAACAAACAGTCCCTCACTTACAGAAAAGAATCTTGAAAACAGAAATTCAGGATTTAGAACACAGAAAGGCAAGTAGAAGCACACCAGATGGTAAATACTCTTTTTTTAAGGAAGTCATGCAATTCTGGGAGCCTAGTGGGGGAGGTAGGGGACAAAAGGAGATTTAGGCATATATTTGTACAACTGACAGCTTTTTACCTGACAGTATCAAAGAGGAGTAGAAAAAGCCTCCCGTCAACCTGAAAACAATTTATGAGATGCGCTCTTTGCTGTCGTTCAGCCTTCAAGTCAGGCACAGCCTCCTGAGTGTCTGGATGAGCCTGCAGGCTGCCTCTCCACCATCCTCCTCCTCCTGCCTGCACAGGAGCCGCACTCCCCAGGAGCCCGCAGCCCTGGGAATGCCAGCCATCTGCTCCAGCAGCCTCCCTCCCACGCACGGGCTGCCGAGGCAGGCTCTGCCCGCTGCCGGGGCCACCCAAAGCCGCTCACGGCGGATCAGCGCCTTCCCTCGCTCGGCGGCGCTCCCGCGGGCCGGGGATGCTCCGGGCAGAGAAACCAGCCTGCGCTGGGGCCCAGCTCCTCCACGGAGCTGGATAAGGGACTGCACAGAGGATGGCACAGCAAAGCCACCAGAGCTGGTGGAGGCTGGTCCTGCAGCTATGCGCAACCAGGCCATGGCCATCGGGGCATCAACAAGGTGTGGACAGCCCAGCACAGCTTCCAGCGGCGCTGCGCCACTGGCAAGGCTGCCGGCATCCCCACGTGGCTCGAAGGCACCCGCAAGGACTGTCTCTGCCACAGCTCAGGGCTGCTATGCCTTCCTTTCACCACCCTCTGCTGCCAAGGAATGGTTTCTGGAGGTTCATTTCCTGCCTGTCTTCATTCTTGCGGGGTCTGTGGCCACCCAGTTGGCGCTGCTCTGTGCTGGGGAACATGTGAAATCATGTGAACGTGTTAAGCTCCATGATTTCCTGGCTCAGGTTTGCATTTGCCAGTGTTTATGCTTTCGGAAGAATGCCTTAGAGCACTCACCTGGCTTTGAGCTACAGAAATGTTTCTGATACGTGCTGTGAACAAAGAGGAGTGTTAAAAACCTCTTCTAGTAATCCATGTCTCTCAAAGGAATAGTGCACCATGATCCAAGCAAAGAAGCCAGCACACAAAACTGCAGAAAAATTGCACTATGAAAAGCCAGCGTCAATTAAGGAGACAGGAGTCCTGCAACTTCATTCCAATAAAGGAAGAGACTGTCCACAGGGGCATATTCGTGTGGGGTTTCTCTCTCCAGGTTTTGGAGGGCGCAGCCTCCTTTTATCCTAACTTCTGGCTGCATGTTGCTCCCTTCTTTTCCCATTGGCTGAGGTACTGGGAGGGCACAGCCCTCCCAAATCACCTACCACGTATCCCACCTTGAACCTGTCATTCTCACTCAAAGTTCAGAAACTCAGGCTTGTGTGGACCCATTTGTCTGTTTCAGGAGTCTAACTGTCTCGGTTCTGCAACAAAGGCTTTCAGTTGGTAAATACATTAAAACCCATTTCAAAGACATTAACATCCATACCGTGACCCACTGAACTGTTTGTAAAGACATTAGCACACATGTTTTCTTACCAAAACTGAATGAGGCAATGTTTGTGTGGCTTGGCACTTCCTGGCACAAGTGAAATGCAAGCATGGTCTGACATTCAGTTGATCCTGAGCCAGGTTCAGAGGGTTACATATAAACTCCCTGAAGCTTTGTCGTTTGGTTTTAAGCTTTTGGATAAATTCACCTCAAGAGACAGAATACACACACAGACCTGCAGATCTACATCCTTCTGAATTATCTGCCACAGTCCCAGAATCACTCAAGTCACTGCACTTGATGGGAGAATTAAGATTTACCTGGTTCTCCTAAGGCTGATCAGACCCAGACTTCAGAATACTTTTGCACATTTTTGGAACAGTTTCAGCTGCAAGCTTTGGGTTTAGACCCTGGGCATAGAAGAGCTTTGGACTGCAGTTTCCCAGTCAGGAGAGCAGATGAGAGCATTTCTGAGGCACAAATCCATATGAAGAACCACACTCACAGCACACTCACAGCTAAACTCCAGGACTCCCAGACTTAGAGGAAGCTGAGATTCACCAGGAGAGAGGTCAGCGCTGCCTTCTGTGTCAGTGCTGGCTCCCTGTTTTCATAGCAGCATTTTACTTTGGTGGGTCTGTCTGTGCTACTTTCTTGTGGCTTGCAGCCACACACCCGAGGGGATGAGTTAAAGGCTGTACGCAGCACACCCTGCCTGCCCAGGATTAACCACTGCACTTCAGGATAATGGCAGGCAGCCCGAGCTCCGCAGAAACAGCGGCTACTCCCTCTCAGGGACATCCCGCTCCCAGGGGCTCTCAGCTGAAATGGGCTGTGGGTGGGTGCTTGGGAAGGGACCTGTTGGCCACAGAGACCAGCAGCACCTCCAGGTTGAAGGCAGGCAGGTTCCCCTTCACTGTCCTTTGGCACACCTGGGATGGGAGACCATGCATATCAGCAAGCATGACAGGTCACAGAGACATGCCACAGCCTGAAGGCATCCTTCTGGGATCTTGGGAACCCTGCCAGAATGAGCCTTTCATTTCTGAAGCATCCTATACCCACTCTTGCTTCCTGCATGTCCTTCTCCTCCTTCCCTTTGTACCTTTGTAGCCACTGCATTCTGCATTCTCCCAGAGAGAAATAGGGCAAACATAACCTGATTAACCAAGAGGATTTGGGCACGAAGGGGCGGGGGAGGAGATTAATACACACAGAACCTTTCCCTCTCACATTAGCCCTAGCCTATTCAATAATTAAAGCGTTCTGCGGTGACTCTGACTTTGGGATTTGCTATAAAAGCTTCTCATAAACTCTGTCTCAGCATGCAGACATCAGACCAAAGAGAACATTCGGTCTGACAAGCTGAAATTTCTTCCAGGCTCCAGGGTCAGTCAGAAGCTTAAAACCACTTGGATGTGAGCCTATGGCTCCATTTTAAAACATAAGGATCCCTCTTGCTGTTGTTCATCTATTGGAGAGACAGAATCCAACCTTTCTTTGGCCACTCTGTCTCTGAAATGTGGTTTAGAGGTTAATGCAGACCTTCTCCATTGCATGTACAATACAACCTCCAAGGCTGGCAGCCCCATGAACATAGGAACATATTACACAGGCTCTGGCTGCCCTCCAAACCTATTCTGATGGTCTATTTTCTTTTCATTCCTTTTTTCTTGCTTACCTTAAGGCATGTAGATGTTTCAGGATGGAAATGTAAACCTTACCACATGAAGAAAAGATGCCTTCCCTGACCTTCCAAAGAGCTATTTTTGGCCACTCTTATATGCCTGAGAACTCTTACAGGGGTCATGCACTGACCTAACTGCCTGTCAGTAATTTTTGCCTAAGAGATATGAGACATTGCAGAGATTATATTTTTAAAAGTTTTAATTTTCTCCATAACCTAACAAACTACTGACTCCAAATCTCCGGATGTTGTTTGCAAGGGCGCATATTTTAAAAGGGTCTGCAAGCCTGATATTATTACCCAAGGAATACATGCTCAACATTACACCTAAAAATACAATTAAATATTGTAATTATTAAATATTAAATTACAAAATACTAAAGATATATCCTTAATCCAGAATTTTCCAAAAGTTGAGTACCCACGGCCTTTAACTGACTTCACTTTTCAAGTCCAAACCTGGAGGAGAAGAAGCTCCAAAAGTTTCAGAGTGAAACAGATTTCTTTTCAAAATATGTACCCCCAAAGAATTTATGAGATTAAAAAATAAGGAAAGCTGGGTTAGCAGCCAAACACATGCACAGGATGATACTCCATGAAGAAGGCAACAGTCCTAGCTCCATCTGTCAGAGCACATGAATATACCACATCACATCCCAGCAGTCAGAAATATGGGCTCTGGACTGTCCTGTGTCTCTCAAATTCTAATGGTGACATTTTTCCAAACTGGCACTGCCCAGAGTGCAGACATTTCAGTCCAGAGGTCAGGAGTGAAGCGAGCCCCACTGCCCCAGCAGCTGCCCAAAAGCTCCTCATGTGGCAGGGAGTGAATGCTGACCCAGAGGACTGCACAGCCCTGTTGCCACTCCAGACACTGCTTGCCCTCACACAAGGGGCAGAAGATAAAGCACATGGGCACCTTTTCCCTCCTGGCATCACAGCATCAAGTATCACATAAACACACAGCCTACAGCATGCATAAAGCAGAAATGCTGTACAACTAGCAAGAAGAATGTGGAGAATACATAGGGAGTGAACTGTTTAGGAGACCCAGCCTCCAGAAATCCAGCTCTGTGCACATGGACACACACACACAGAGAACACATGATAAGATCTCCCAGCATCTCACATTTTCATCACGTGGTATCTTTTAAGGGGTTCTTGAACTGAGATACTGCTTCTTAAGGCCAGAACTGCATAAGGCTTAAGGATACAACTGATTTTGCATAGAGCCATGAGAAAAACAGCACAGGGTTGAGGTGGCCAGTGAGAAATGCTTGTACCTTGCATTTAGCAGCCAGGACGCAGGCATGCTGCTCCTCTTATCATGGGGCCCAACTACCAGGTTCTGGAAGTATCAGAATTTCCCCCACAGGAGCCAAAAGTCATGTTTCCTCCCTTTGGTAATATTCTCCTCCTTAAACAAGGCTCACCACAGTTTGCAAAACAATGAGGCCATGCCCTGCAAATGTTTGCTAAACATTTGTGCAATTTCATCCAAATACAGGCACAGAGAGAACACAAGTCAGAAATGCCACACTTAGCATAGCACTGTGAAAACTATTCATTGGCAGTCCATAGGCAAGCAGCAACCTTTCATTTTCTATTTAAAACTTGAGTATAAATAAAAACCCTGAATTAATTGATGGAGATAAGGGTTGGTAACATTCTTGGAAAACACAGCATGCCAAGTCAAGAACCATATTTGGCAATTATTCTGCTTTATTCTGCTTCCACTCTCACTCCCCTGGTTCATTCTGCCTCTTTAGCTGATGAGCTCTTTCTGCTGTGTGCCTTTACAATGCCTGTGCTGCAAAGCTGTGCTCCCAACAGAGATGTTCATCTTGGTGCCTGCCTGAAGTGTATTAATGATCTCACTACAACTGCAATAGCAATTGAGGCTGCACCTTTCTCTCCTCACCTTCATTTTTCTTTGGAATCACTGCCATAGTTCAGACCCTTGGTACTGAATAATGGTGCAACATACCGTGTTTCAATTAAGAAACACAGGTGCTTAAAATTAAAAAGTTGTGGAAAGAAGTGAAGAACACAAAGCAACTCTTTTCTGGAAAGGTTAAGAAATCTCTCTTCTCTTCCTGACACAGCACACTTTGAACATACATATGACAACAGGGCTCTGCTGGCAGCACACAGGATATAAATGGCATTTAAAACTCTGCCTGGTAACCTCTCAGGACAGAACCTGAGTGTCACAGTCATGTCTTTTGCCAAGGGCTCCGTAGCCACCTGCAGAGCTGCCAACAACCACCACAAAACCAAATATTTAAAAGAATAGCTTGTGCAGAAACAGTGAAGTTATTTTTCCTCTCTGGGAAGAGCAGAAGAGTTGAGGTCTGCAACACAAGCCCAAATCACCCCTCAGGCCTACAACCCTTGGGCTCAGCTAGCCCAGCTGCAGCTCTTTAAGGAGCCTCAGGGGTGGCACAAGTGTGCAAACTGAAATGAAAGTACCTGGTTGCCTATCTCCATTCTATTGCTGCATTTGTTGAACTGCAAGTTAAACTTCATCTTCCTCCTCCACGGAAGGGATAATCATTTATTACATAGTCATCTGTAGGTTGCCTCAGCAAGTCTGTGTGTCTGTAATGCTGAGAAGTACTCAGCTTTCTGCAGTGGTTGGTATGGTCCAGCAACATCTTCCTCATAGGATGCCGACTTTCCAGCAATGTAACTTGGAATTCTGATTCACAGAAATGAAAGTTTGGACACTGTGTTTTTTGGCTGGGAGAGAATGCATAATCTGCTATCATACAGAGCATCAATCAGATATATGAGGTTTTCTGAAATGCTAGGAAAGTGTCTCCATCCAAAAAGGAGGCACTCTCGTGTAGTTAAATGCATGCCATTTACCAGAGCATCCCATTTCCTGCAGTTCCTAAGTAAATGAGTAAGATTCCAGAGCTGCATCAAGGGAATGGGTTTGGCTTGGAATCCTGCATGGTGACTCATGCTTTCATGAATAAATTCATTTCCTTAGAGAAACAAGACAAAATCACGTGTTGTTCTTAGTCCAGCTACCTGGAGTGTTGATTTAGGAAGCTATTGCAAAAAAATACAATTTCATCTAGCCTTATGTTGAATGCATAATCCACTGCAACTCTATTTGCAAACATAACCAACTTAAGGGGAAAAGAAAAACTGGTGTAACTTGGAAGTTCTGGGTATTGGAAGATATCAGCTAGAAATCAGTTTGCAATCAAAACCAGACAACTGACAAAAAAACATTGTTGAAGTCTGGGTGTTCCAGAAATTGACTGTTATTTACATAGCTCTCCATATTTATTCCTCTCCTGCACATTTAAAAATAGGTTGTAGAGACACAGCCGAAAACACCAGGAAATGAGAATTGCATCAGCTGGCCCCTCCCCTTCCCCACAATGACAGTGCAAGGAAAACGAGGGCGTGAAGCAGCAAAAGCTCTGGATCTCTGTAACACCAGCATCCTCAGATGTGCATGGAAGTAGCCAAGGAGAGGCACCCAGAGGTGTATGGATCGTGGCTAATCAGTTATGTGCAGAGATACTTGTTAGTGCAAGCCAGGATGAAACTCATCTTTCAGCTTTTGGGTTTCTTAGGAGATCAGTTCAAACGGTTTGATGTGGCTATACCGACCAAACTGGAGAAATACAAAATACGGATTTTTGTGGAGTATGAACCAACTCCCTGTATCTCACCCTGGTAAGTATTTCAAAAGAATAATGCAAGAATTCCAGCTCTGTGAACTTTAGGTGTCAAGTTACACTTTGGAGTCTAGGCCTCTATGGCTCAGGAAAATACCATCCATCAGTTTCATGCTGCTTTATAAATGCTGAATTGTTTCATAATTAACAAATCTCTGCAGTACCAGCATCAGGCTGGTAGATAAAAGCACCTTCACATTTTACAAAGGAGAAATGAAGCCATTAAAGCTGGAGGAAATTGTTCAGGTCTCAGAATAAATCAAAGGGAAAGACAGGACTGGAACATGATGTATCTGTGTGTAGTGCCAGATCCTTTTCTCACACACTGACACCACATGAAAGCAAAGCCCTTGATGATGTAAGAGCAAAGGCAGGACCGATCATGCAGGGAATACCCCCCAGGATTTTTAAGGGCAAATTAAACCTCGAGTCTCAGGTAGAGCGGGGAAATGCCACTGACCTTTCCAGGGCTGGTCAGCATCCCCAGTAGCTTTGGGTTACTGATAACCTCCCAGCTCAGCTGTAGGTCACACAGCAAACCTGCAGGTCCTGGTTTGGTGTCCTGACTCACCCATGAAGCACCATCAGGTTTGACTCAGTCAAGCCAGGAGCTGAGCAAATGGAGAGAGTAGAAATTAAATGTCACCATGTAAAACCTCTCGTACACCAGCAAAATGGAGGGAAATTTACTAACATTTTGTGTTTTACTGAAAATAGCAAAATGTACACTTTGAACTCACCTTGTATAACACTCTCTGGACTTCATTTTTGTGACAATGGTCTAATGATATCTTGTTGATTAAAGGCAAACACATTGTTTAATAAGAATGTGGCATTTGTTTCCATCTGTTATCACTCAGATCCTGACCAAATGCCGCTTGAGGCCTGTGGAAAAGCTCTGCTTCTAACTCCTAGAATGAAAATATAAATGTTTCTACATTCACCAGCTTCTATTGCTTTATTATTCATGTTTAATCTGTGAAAACTAATATGAAAAGGAGGGCAAGCAGGCTGAGGAAGGGTCAAGCTTCCCTGGAGAGACACTGTCACATTTCTGGCATTCCCATCACTCTGTCAACACCACCTCCTGTTACCATGATAAAAGGCAGCAGTGGAGTAAGAACAGGAAGAATAAAACTCCTTATGTACACACGTGAGAAAAGTCAACCCATCCCTACAATCATTCACTTACAGGAAATCAAAACAGACCTGGCCTCCATCTTCCAAGTACAAGAAAAATGCCTGTAATTTGCTCACCCCATTCTGTTTGTGCTGTTCTGAGCCTTCTCTCATTGAAGCTCTCTGAGGCAGAAAATCAATGTCAATCATGCCAGATGACTGCTTTCCTCCTGAGCATCTACTGCCAATAATAAGATCACAAAGGCCTCATAAAAAGAAAAAAATTGGCCATCAAAGCTGCCTTCTCAGTTCTGTAACTGAGATAAATTAACAGGTGAATTAGCACTGGCATACTAAAGGCTGACTCTATTTTTTTAATAAAAAAAGGGTTCTAATCGCTTATCATCATCACTGAGGACTCACTGTGACAAGGATGGTCTAGAAACATCCCAGCTGGTTTTACTTTGTTCTGCACTACTAAAAGTAGAACCCCTGGTACCTGAACAGGTGCCAGAGAGATAAGGACAACCTGATGCCTTATAAAATAACAGCGATTCATTCTTGCTTCTGTTCTCAGTAACAAGCAACACAAACACAAGTAAAGATGTTACTGGAACTTACACCCTGAAAACCATGTCTAAGTTCATTTTGTGTGAGCCATGGGCTAAGAAGACTCTTACAATACCAATAGTCTTCTTTTAGGAGTTTTGGTCTCACTGTGAGTAATAAAATACCAATTCTTTTACATTAGTTACCCATTTAAAAATGCTTATTATTCTATTCAGCCAGTATTGTCATAGAAGCTTCCCATGTTGCATTTAAACTCTTTAGAAGTAAAAGTTTTTATAGGCAAAAATAATTCTTATTGGTCTTAATTCCTGTCAAATGTTCATCTTCTGTCCTGCCAGATGTCTGTAACTCAAACCTGGATGAGATGTTCAGTCCCATTCATACAGAGCCACTGTAAATACAGATTCCTGGGATGCAGAACTAAACCTCCTAAGCCATCCTTGAGGCTTCCGACAGAACAAGATGCCCAGTGAACCCAGAATAATGCAGAATGACAGAACTATGTTTCCTTTTCATCCTGCATTCATGTGGCTTCAGGCAAGCTCAGCATCTACCCACACTTCCTTAGTGACCAGTCTTCCCTGAAATGGCACATCCCACAAGCATCACTCCTTCCTCCAGCAGCAGCAAGGAACAAGGCACATCTACTGCAACCAGGAGCCTGGCATATTTCACCTCCTTTGCTGGAAGTGCTGGTCTTTACAATAAGCAGAATTTTGTATTTTTCTGCCTTGTTTCATGCAAATCTTATGCAAATTCTCTTTCCAGCCTTTTTAGATGTTTTCTCTCCAGTATTTTTTGCTTCTTTTATTTTGCCAGCGGGCTGTCAAATAAATGGTGAGGCTTTGGGTTACCACTGCTGTCAGGTCAGCCCAGCAAAAGGGAATTGTCACTGGGATGGTGTGTGTGACCAAGCATGCCACAGCAAGATAAGTACCTCAAAAACAACATCCTAGGACCTGAGGACCTAGGGCCAAAAATCAGTTAGAGTGAGAATCAGAAAAGGAAGCTAAGTCAAATATTGTAAAGGTACCAGAACTACATTAAATTAAAAAAAAAAAAAAAAGAAAAAAAAAAGACAAAGGAAGAAAGAATATTACTGTAAAAACAAGAATGAGAAAATAAAGATAACACAGCTACTCACACAATATTAAATTAATGCTTACCTGATTTTCAGTAAGGATGAACATGATAATCCATGGGGTAAAGACAGGATGCCTAAGAGAAGAGGGAGAAAGCAGAAATGGCTAAAAGATAATGAAGGAACACAACTCACAGATGGTGTACAAAACTCACCCAGTCTGCTGTTTTCCATCTGGAGAAATCAGGCATTCTCAATTCCAGAACCCTGATGTGCACAAATCCAAAAGATTTTAAGTGAATTTCCCTACTTGAAGGCATTACCACAGGACCAGAGAACAGCAGGTTCTAAGAAGTAAGCCATGGTGGAAGCAGTTTGGGCCTGTGATCTTGATGCCTGTGCAGTTCTTCAGAAAAAACCTGCAAAGGAGAATCTAACTAAAAACATAATATTTGATGAATAACAAAGGGATAAAAGGTAGTATGGATTTACTAAAAGCCAGTTTTGTAGGATGACCCACAAAACAATATAGGATAAAATTGAAACTTCAGGCATTCAGGAAATATTTTTTTTTAAAAAAAAATGGGTTTGCTTTCTTGTTGGGAGTCCGAGCAAGAAGTGAATGGGAGAAGGATTTGGCTTTAGTAACCATCTGCAGGGTGACAGGAAGCTGACAGCACGGTGTGACTGAAACAGAGCAGTGTGAGTCCAGTCATGGAATTTCCATTAACTTCAGGAAAACATGAGTGCTGTGTTTGAGGCATCGCTGTCTGACACTCCATGCAGCAGCTCCTCTCCGGAGAAAAAGCATTTTAAAAGCATTTAAACTGAAAAAGTCTCTCAGAACATACATCCCGATGACCAGGGAACCGCTTGCATGACCATGCAGGGCTGAAAAGGTCTGGCTTATATAACCGAACACAACAAATGAGTGGGAATTGGATATGTAAATACACGGAAAGGGGAAGTAAACAAAAGCCCACAAGCATCTATTGATTTAGATGGAAATTAGAAGCTGGTTTCCAGCCACCCGACAAGAGGCCCCATCCGGAACGACGGCCATAAACCCCCGAGGAGCAGCGCAGGGCTGGCCGCCACTGCCCGGCCGGGAAACGAGGGCAGCAACGCCTTCAGTTCCCCACAAGCTCTCCGGAGCCGGCCTGTTTGCTTTCACTCATCCCAGCTAATAGCAGAGGGAGTGAAATCTCCGCCGACGGCAGCCCTCAGACGAGCCCCGAGGGTGTGCGCACCCGAGATCCCCAGCCCCGCCTCGGCTCCCCTCGGCCTCCCTTCACCCTCCCCTCCGCCTCCCCGCTCCGTCTCCTTCCCGCTGCTCCTTCCCCTCCTCCCTCTCGCTCTCTCTCCTCCCCGACGTGTCTGCGGGCACGTCCCCAGCGCCGCAGCCC